TCTCTCTCTCACACACACACACACACACACACACACACACACACACACACACACAGATACCTGCAATCAGGCTGGAGGCCTGGAATACAAAAAAGAGTGGAGTTATTTCAATAGATTACTGCACCAGGAAATGTATAATATCTCTCAAGGAAAATATCTCTACTAACTAAAATATGTTTTTTAAACTGTGGAAGTGGAGATAAATACACATATTAGCAAAACCACTGCCACAATAAGAATAGATAAAAAAATCCAACTCCCATTTAAAATTAGTTTCCAAACTAAAACATAATAGCATAGAAAGTAAAAAATGAAAACAACAAAAGACCTATGTACTGAACTCCAAAGAATTAGATAAGACATTACTATCTGAAAAAAATTTTAATATAAAAGTATTTAAGTACATCAACAACTTAAAGCAATGAAAACCACTTATATAAAATTACTATAAATATATTATGATAGAAGATTATGAAGAATTGTGATATATAAATTCCGGGGTGGTGATATGGAAAAAAACCTTTAAAAATCATTAAATAAAGTAAAAAATTGATAGACTAATCTTTATGCTAGACTTCAAAACTGTTGCACATTATAATCTTGCACATAACTTACAAAGTCCTAATGCCAATTAATACTCAAGATTCTATTAGAATCTTTGATAGATGTCTCAGGATCTTTTCTTTTTATTTCTTTTTTATTTTTTAAAGAGATGACAAGTTAGAATTAATGCAGAAAAAATTACAGGTGATACAGAATTTCACTTAAAGTAATATGAATTCCATAGTGTTTGTTGAAATAACATTGTGTTGTCTTCCAAACAGTTATTCATATTACCAGATATATGCATATAAAATTGGAAGAAGAAAAAAAGAAATGTATAAGAAGTTAAAAAGAGAAAAAGTACAAACAATTGAAAAAAGTAGATGAAACAAATTAAAGCATTAAGTGCTCCTTTCCATAGACCAGCAGTAATGCACAGTATACTTGTCCAAACCATCTTACATATATAGATAAATCTCTTTCCTCCACTTCCTCTCCGGTCCTTCTCAGTAGGTTTTTTTTTTTCTTGTTGTTGTTTGTTTGTTTGTTTGTTTGTTTGTTTTGTGGGGGAAGGGCCTACAGGATGTTCATGGTCTCACTACAAGATTAGACTCATAGTGATCCTCCTGTTTGCAGCCTCCCAAGAGCTGGGATTACAGGCACACGCCACCACACCCAATCTATCTCCGGCCCTTTTCAACTCGCAACTCTTTCTTTTTGAATAAGTTTATTCCTTTTTCCTGGTGTGTTCTCCGGTTACATCCATTTACTGACAAAAGACTCAAATTTATCCAGTTTTATAGCTAAATAATACCCCATTGTGTAAAAATACCACATCTTCTTTATCCATTCCTTAGTTTATGGGCATCTGGGTTTCCAGGATTTAGCTATGACAAATTGTGCAGCTATAAACATGGGTGCACATATAGCACTGTGGCAAGAAGGTTTCAGTTCTTCTGGAAAGATAGCCAGGAAAGGAGTGGTTGGCTTAAGTGAGATCTCCAGTCTTACTTCGTAAGGAATCTCCACACTGATTTCCATACTGGTTGTACCAGTCTGCCTTTCCCAGCATTTGTTATTGGCTAACTTCTCAGGATCTTTTAAAACAACTCTTTGGTTCTAATATTGTGTCAATGTGGAAAGCAACTGACTTAAGTATAGTTGAAATGCACCTTTAAGACCTAATCTTGGGCTGGGGAGATGGCTCAGTAGAATAAGCACTTGCCTGGCAAGCACAAGGGCCTGAGTTCAATCCTCAGTTCTGTAAAAAAAAAAAAAGTTGTAATCTTAATATAAATATATGGCTAAAAAAGGAATTAATAAGATAGGATTTAAAATTAGATTTAAATTTTAAAAATTATTATGTATCATTAATATATTTTAAATATAGTATAACCTGTTATAAATTTTCAGTGAAAATTAGCAAGCTGATTCTTAAATTTATATAAAAGGGCTAAAAACAGCTGAAGTGATCATGAATAGAAATAAATAAAATTTGCAATGGGAAAAAGTTTAAATCACTAGGATTAATTCTTGTCACACTGATACTTTAGGTTAAAACCCTGCATTTGCTTTTTCATTAACATGATTCTTATGACTAGTCATGAGATGATGCCAAAGTAATTTCAGTTCTCTCCAGAATTAGTTTTTGGCTTCATTAAAAACTCAAGAAAGTTAATGAGGTTTTTTTGTTTGTTTTGTTTTGTTTTTGCCAAAGAAGACTATTATGAGCTCTGCAGGCAACTTTAGGTACACTTCATAAGTGGACTGCTTTCAGTGGCCACGATCACAGTGATATCAACTAGATTTTTTTTTTTTTTTTGTCTTTTATATCTCAGGACAGCTAGTACTCCAGAACAT